GGAGCGAGAAACCCGCTACTGGGTCGTGACCCACTAGGCCACTACCATTGCACGAAAGCGGGCGCCTAATCGGACGCCTGAAGCGTGAGAACTATGTGTCGCTCGTACTGAATCCTATTATGAATCGACTATGAAGCGGCAGCTATTGGGCTGCAGATGAGTGCGAGTTTTGTCTGTGGTTTTGTCAGACTTTTCATTGTTGTAGCATCGGTTTTCCTTGGGTTTCCTCTGATTTTCTTCCGTTTTCCATTTCCCCCCTTTTTATTCACTTTACTTTGTTTCTTTCTTCCATTTTTCCCTTTTTGTCTTCATACACATTGTACATTCTCCATATACATCAGGAACATTTTTCACACATGTTTAAGATTTTTAAAATACATGATTAACATTTTTCAAATATATGTTTTGATATTTACTTTTTCCATACACATTCTACATTTTCTTGTATGCATCTAAAATATTATATTTTATACTTTAACATTTTTCAATACATGATTAATTTTTTAAGAAAAATACTTGTTTTGAACATTTTTTGAATACACGTTAAAAAATAATTTCGTATTATGCAAAAAATTAATTTTAAATTATGTTAACATTTGTATACATTGGATAAACAGTTTTTAAAATGACACAAACATTTTGTTTGAAACGCAAGAACATTTTTAAAACATAAGGTACTTTTTTCAATGGCACAAAATATTTTTTGAATTAAACAAACTTTTATTGAAATTTTATGAAAAGCTTAAAAATATGTGAACATTTATTTAATGTCACATACATTTTTTCTGAATGAAACAAACATTTTCTAAACATTTAGAGACTATTTTCACACTAGATTTACATTTCTTAAAGTGCCATGGTAGCCCTACCCAGCACAGGCTCCCTACAGGCAACACCTGGACAAGATTTGGTTCAAGATCCAGGGATGGGTGGAAAGTTGTATGGCGTCTGCTGTAAAAGAAGTGCTGATAAAATTGGTGGCACAGGCGATACTTACGTTCTCTATGTCGTGTTTTATCTTCCCAAGGGGATTGTGCCAGCAAATAGACATGATGTTCGGGAAGTTTTTTTGGGAAGCAAAGAAGGGGTAAGAAAGATAGCATGGGTCCCATGGCACACTTTAACAATGCCTAAGTACATGGGAAGATTTTTTCCAAGACCCATCCTCTCTCAGTGCTAGGATTTTGAAGGTTGTTAATTTCCCAAACTGTGATCTTTTGGAAGCTGAGTTAGGAAATCATCCTTCCTAGATATGGAGGGCTGTTTGCGAGGGCACTGCAATTTGAAATAAGATCTGATTTGAAGGATGGGAAATGGTGAGGGTACAAGTATATGCAACCAAAATTGGATTCCTAACTCCACTGATCCCCTAGAGCGGGTGTCCGAATTAATTGTTGCAGCAGAAAGGAGATGGGACCGGGATGCAGTTTCAGAACACTTGCAACCGACTGATGCACAGCCTGTGCTAAATATTACTTTGAGTTCCTCTAATTTTGCAGATACTTGCGCTTGGCACTATGAAAAATCAGGAACATTCACGGCACGATTTGCATATAGAATGATCGTGGGGACGAAGAGAAGGAGGGAAGACTGGCTTACACACCAAGCCAAAAATTCACTTGAGAGAACCATGAACGTGTGGAAATTTCAGGTATCAGCAAAGCTCAAAAATTTTGTGTGGCGATTGGCGAGAAATTCAGTGCCAACAAACTCTCGGAAGGATATGCATATGACGGAGTCGAGTGTATGCGGGATTTGTACCGCTTCGGAGGATACTTGGAAATACGCATTGGTCGAATGCATGATGGCAAATTGTGTTTGGTTTCTGGTGGATGATGAATTGTTGCAACACCTGATCGAGTGTTAAACCAACTGCGGTTTGGCTATTGATGGTGATGAAAACACGGTCAAAACTTATCACGAAGATCAATCCGCGTATGCAACCAAACAACAAGCAAGAATAGATATGGAATTATAATTGCGGGTAAAAACAGTGGAGTTCCAATGACATTTATTACGAGGCGTCATTGACTTGTATATAGAAAAGAGTGACAAACACTAAAACTCAATGAGACTAGTCACAGTGGGAGTAACTTCAGTAGTAACATCGAGTCCAACTCAACAAATGAGGAGAGAGATAGTTATAATAACTTAGCTAGTTACTGTAACATCACATGTTCCTATGCAATATGAGTCTATAACCTAATAAATGAAGCTTTGCATGTTACCACACTTATGTTACTACCCACTATGAAGATAGTAACATAGTATAGGTATATGTGTATGTTACTATTGTATGTTACTACCTATTGTGGCTAGTCTCAGACCCTTATTCAACGCCCTAAGAGGATATTTAAGTAGGTACAATTTGGAGGTGGGGTCGAATCCAACATTGAGCCGGTTTTTTTCATAAACACAAACTCTAAAAGCTGCATATAATCTTGTAATCTAGAACTACATGGGCGTGGCCCAACACTAAAGTGACGCAGCCGGTGGCAAAGCCATGTCGTGGCTATGCCGTCAAGCGAGTACAAAGGGAAATAGTAAGTTAAATAGCCCTATTACACACAATGTATTATTTGACAAGGAATTTCCAAAATTTGACTACAGATGGCCACCTATCCTCTGTTGGGGTAACATGTTAGATACAGGCTTGCAGCGGCGGAACTTCTGATCTAGGGTTATTTCTGATGATTTCTCTATCTATAGGATTTTCAGCGGTGGAATCACGCGAAGATGGACCTCGAGGTGAGCACAACCCACCTGGGTGCGCCTGGGCCTCATGGCGCGCTCAGGTGTCTTGTGCTCACTTCCTTCACCTTCTGGTCCTCCCACAAAGCTTCTAGTGGCTATTTTGTTCCCAAAAAATCGTCAAAAAGTTTCGTTGCATTTGGAAAACTTTTATTTCTGCACAAAAAACAACAGCACAATAGTTCTGCTAAAAATAGTGTCAGTCCTGCTTAGTTCTATGCAAATCATATCAAAACCATATAAAATTATTGTAAACATGACATTAATACTTTATTAATTATAGATACGTTGGAGACGTATCAACCGCCTCTGAACCTCTGCCGCTCCGCCGGCACCGCCCCTGAACCTCTCCTACTCCACCGCGCCTCGCCTGAACCTCTCCTACTACGCCCGCCGCGCCGCGCCTGAACCTCTCCTGCTCCGCCCGCCCCTCAACTTCTCCTGCTCCGCCGCGGCTGGAAAGGAAGCGGGAGACGGTTGTAGCCGTCTGGCGACAAGGGCTCGGCCACTCAACTTCTTCTGCTCCGCCGTGCCGCCCCTGAACTTCTGTTGCTACCGCCCGCACCTCACCTTCTCCTGTCCGTTGCGTCTGGAAAAGACGTTGTAAAAAATGAATTGTTTTTAGTAAAAGAGGGACTGCGGGTTGTATTATAAAAAACACAGGGGATAACTGCTTTATTATTAGGAAAATATTTAAAAATTTTATTAGGTAAAGAGTAAATATGAATTATAATTATTAATGATAATTATATATATATATGTAGGTCCAGATGTTATTAAAGAGGAGCGCACCAAAGTGCCAAACCCCTCGAAAAAGCTGAAACCCCTCCCCCCTCAGTCCCCCATCCGCCGTCGGCTGCCCTCCCCACCCCACGAGACGGCGGCGGCGGCGAGCAGCACCCGATCCTCTCCCCCCTCCTCGGTAACCTCCTCCCCCTCCTCTCGCGCTCCTCCTGGTTGATTCCGCTTTCCCGTATCCGATCGATTCGTGCTCCGTTCCGAGCAGTCTGTTCGCTCCGCCGTGGGTCGGGAATCCGAATCCATCTGCCTGGTCCGTCCTCGAATGCGTCCGCCCCGTCGGTCTGTTGCGAATCCCGTCGCCTGCTCGCCGTCGCTGCCTCGCTGAATGCCGCCGCTGCCGTAGGGTTTAGTTTTTTTTTTCTTTCGCCGCGGCGACACCGACGGGGTCATCGAACCCTCGCCGCCGCGCGGCCTCTCCCCTCCCAGGCCTCCTCCGTCGAAGCACGGAAGCGGTCCTATCGTGTGGCCGTTGTTCCTCCCCGCCGGCCCACTCTACTGGACTGGTGTGGAGTGGGGAGTGGGGAGTGGGGAGGGGAGATTCACCCATCTAGGTTTAAATTTTCCTTAGTAGCGACTAACCCTAACTTGTTCGAATTGTAAATAGGTTTATCCTGGTATTTTCCTTGCTGCGAGCAATACTAATGCTAATCCAAGGTGGGATGTTTAACTGAGGCGTCATGTTTCCTTGTTAGATCGACCCTGTTCCTGCATTTCTTGATACATGTCTTGTTAGATCCACCCTGTGCGCGCCTTCTCGATGCATGTTTGGGGGTGGGGAGACGGTCGACCATGTTCTTTGCAGTATTGTTCTGTTACTACAAATTAACAGTGAATGCTAAACTTTGGTTAAATTATCTTCCTTAGTTTGTGCTTGTATAGTTGTTTTAAGCACACACGTGCATCTTATTTTGGATATAGATAGGCTTTCTATTGAGAACTGAGCGTCTCTCAGCTGGTGGGGGTGCTTGAACGCCAACCTGCTCACCACGGTTCGACTCCCATTTGCAGAATTTATTTGGTGGGGTGCCTGGTGTCTCGGATGTTCTTGTACAAACAATCCGCCAAGTGCTACTGCCTTGTGGAAATAGATACAAATAGGTTTTCTTTTTTGCATCATATGTTTATAGTTAAATATGGACGACTTGAATGTTGGAAAGCATAGCCGAAGTTTCAAATCTCCTTGCAGAAGTTGCGGCCTAGTTTCCTAAATGGGTGCATGAAGGCTTCTGGAACATTGCATATTAGTGAAATTAGGAGTATTGTTTGTATGGTGTCGTAGACCTTTATTGAGTCTGTATATCCAACTAAGTTGGGTGATATTATTAACACCAAAAATTATTTGTGTTCTGGATGCCTTTACATAGTAAAAGTTGTTAGATATCCAACATATAGTTCCTCTTACTGATATTTCCATTGTTTCAGTTCACTGTTGGAGCAGAGCAGTAAAAATGAATGTGCACCTCAGCTTTGAGGATGGCTGGAAGGTCCTGGAACAGGGCATTGTGACATGCTCAAAGATTTTGGAGGGATCCACTGGTACAAGGCCTACTGTTGCTGAGTACATGAATTGCTATGAGTATGATTCTATCATTTTCGCGTGTAATATGTATCTTAACTATTACTCCCTCCGTAAACTAATATAAGAGCGTTTAGAATACTAAAGTAGTGATCTAAACTAATATAAGAGCGTTCAGAATACTAAAGTAGTGATCTAAACGCTCTTATATTAGTTTAGAAAGGGAGTACCAGTGAAGCATTTAAATTTCTTGCTCATGATATGTCCATATACTTTTCCAGCTGTGCTTATAGAATGGCTGTGCAGACAACCAGCTATTGTGAAGAGATGTACAATGGTTACAAGGCTACACTTGCAGAATCTGTTCGTGCACTGGTACTATGTTGACCTTTCATTCCATTTCACAGTTTTCCATTGCCGAGTCAGTATTTTTAGTTCTAACCAATCGACACATTTAAGACTGAGGAAATGATAAGTGATATCTTGTTTTTCAACTACTGACTTTTGTTTCCTCCGTTAGACCTTATCTGCTGACCTACTATTGGAAAACTTATTTAGGAATGGACGCATGGTTCTGCAGATCTCAGTATTGGACGGCTTATGTCCATACTTTCATAACACTCACAAAAGTTTAGTACCATAGTATTGTGTCATCTTGAACCAAGTTACAAGCCAGACAAGCCAGATTATCTTTGTCATATTGTGTAGGATTTCTTCTTGTAAAGGGAAACTTGGAACTAATTTATTTGCATTTGAAAACCATATAGAATATTGTGATTTATGTTGACATAGCTATTTCACAGCACTTCCTGCGTTCTCATGATAGTTCTTAGCTAAAGCACTAAAAACAAACTAATGAAAATGCTGCTGCTATGCTTTTCAGACTACAGGGCAGCAGGTTTGATAAATAAGGGGGCCAGTGCATATTCTTGCATGCATATATAATTTCCATCTATCTCTTTGCTTTGGATGCTAAAGAAATGCCTTCGTTAGCATCAGAGATATGCATCATTCTTCACACTGTTGACTTTTTTCTGCTTATTTACTTAGGTTTGCCCCCATCTGATGCACAAGAGAGACGGCTACCTTTTGAGACAGCTTGCGAATATGTGGTCTAACTATTGTATCATGGTTAAATGTGTATCTGGCTTCTTCAACTATTTGGACCGTTGCTTTGTTGAGCAAAGAAAGCTACCTTGTCTTGAAGACACTGCTGCCACTTCTTTTTTCTCTACAGTAAGTGACTAAGTGTTATGCAAGAAATATTTTTGTTTTCACATTTTTCGTATTTTTATTACAAGTTTCTTACACATTTTCTACCTAATATTTATGGCCCTTTTCCCTTTTGCTAGGTCTTTTCCTTCTTCAGTCATGAAGTATCAGACGCTCTGCTGACTTCGGTAATTCTTAGATAGCTATTTTTGCTTGGTTGTTGTTAAAAGCATTTATTCTGTACATAACAATTGATTGATCCAGATTCTCCAAGAGCGTGATGGAGGCAATGCTGATATGGACATCTTGATGGGCATTATGCGTGGCATATGTCGCTCTGAAGTCAAATCCTTCATTAAAAATGCTGTTGTTCAAGATACATATGCTTACTACTCCAGGAAAAGTTCTGAATGGATTGTTCAGTACCCTCTACAAGATTACCTTGCCAAGGTCGGTCGTAACTAATGGGTTATTGAGTAGGTGTTATTTCCTTTTTTATTTTCTTAACACTGTTTATATGTGTTATCTATAGGTCCAGGATTGTATGGAGAAGGAAACCATGAGATTGATGCACTATCTGTGTATTTCTGAGGGAGATAGCACAGAGCTCTGTTTGAAGGTTCTCTTTAATTAAGGGAAAAAAATTGTTTTTTCTTTTTAGCATGAAAATGTTTGCCTTCTTCCAGTAGTAGCATGTAGGGTCGGTACCTCTTCTGTTGTGTTATTTGATGATTCATATTCGGTTACCAATATCTGTACTCTGTGTTTGGACATTTGGTTACTAGTAATATTTTAGTCCTGCTTCTAAACGCCAAAATAAGATGTAGATACGAAAGTAAAATATGATATTATGATTGCCTCAAATCAGCAAATGTCTTAATTGACCAAGAGCACAGAAATTCAGCTGCTTGAATCATGCAAAATGCTATTTCCTGATATATTTCTCATCCTTGTACTGCCTCTGCTCCTGTTGCAGGTTGTTAGTGCTCCATTGATGCAAACTTATGACAGCTATGCAAGAGAGAAACAGATTGGTGGCCAACTTTTGCTTCAAACATACAAGGTGAACTCAGTTGCACTTGCATCATTGTCTGATACTTCATTTTTTTTTCTTTTCTGTATTATGACTAAACATTTCAAACATACAAGGTGAACTCAGTTGCACTTGCATCATTGTCTGATACTTCATTTTTTTTTTCTGTATTATGACTAACCATTCCTTTACTCATATCAGACAGTGGAGGATGATCTGCTGGCCAGATGCAATCGCTTGACAATTGACAGCGGCGTGGACAACAGTTCTGGCAGTTACATGGAGTAGAAAGGAAATGCACTTAAGCTAACATTCATCTATAACCAAGCTTACATATGGGAAGGGGTTCTAGAACATGGCCTACATCTGGGGGAATTTTTTGTGCGGCTCGGTTTTTGGTATCGTGGATTTTGTTGGCGAGATTCGGCTAGATTAAACGCTATACTGAATCTGCAGGGGATACCTCCTTAGTGCTGCCTCCTACCCCATTATGCTCAACAGCATTTGAAATGTACAGGATGGCGGGTCAATTTTTGCCAATGGCAGTTTATTTTGATCGCCGTCTAGCGAACATTAGGCAGGTCAGCAGCTAGCACTCTTAGTGGCTGGACATGGATTATGGCATGACACCGCAGTGGTTGGTGCGATGCCTGTGTGCCTATTGTGTGCTTCTGATGCTGTTTATGGTGGAAAACTTATCTGTGACTTTATGCTATTTCTCTGTGTTTGTGTGCTTGCCTACATTGCTAAACTGCAGATTGGTTGCGTTTTCGTTTATTCCAAGTAAAGTTTGCTGTTAAGGTTGCATGTTGCTGTTCTCGTCCAAGTCAAGTTAGTCAGTGAGTGTAACCTTTTGTAAAAATATACTCCGTATAAGGCTATTGAGATCATAACAGTGTAATCGAACACACATTTGTATGTGTCATTTGTTGTGGGTCTATCATGTTCTAATTAAGACCTTCAACTCATTAAGATGTTGAAACTATGTAGCCCATTCAAGCACAATCATGACATAGGACATATACATGTGAGCGGGAGTATGGAAATAGTGGAATCGAGTTAAAGAAAATGGATTAAACTACGATTGTAGTTTCAAATATTGGTTGAGAAATCTGTTATAATCGGTTTAGCTAGGGCCACCGGGCAATCTTAGCCCACAAGTTATCTTAGGTTAATTCTTATGCAAGTTATCTAGGTTATAAATATGAGCAATGCTATGCACACGACACCATATAGACGATTTGTGCACGACAATCAAATCTGGCCGTGCATGAATGGCAAGATACACCAGTACATGGCTAGATTGGTCTTCGTGCAATAGTCGTCCACAGCATTTGTCGTGTGCACAGCATTTTCCTATAAATATAGGCTGTAAGACTCTTTTTGAAAGCAAGCAATAAGAATATTATCTCTATTGCTCGGCTCCCAGAGGAGCCGGAACCCTAGCCGCCCATCTGCCCTTGCGTCGCTGCTGCCACCCTCCTCTCCCGTGACGGCGCCCAACCGTCGGCGCGGCCGCTCATCGCCTCGCCCAGCCCCCTCCTTCCCTTACTGCTTACGCCCCAGGCCTGGTAGGGTACAAGTTCCTACCAATTTGGTAATCAGAGACCAAGTTCAGATCATGTCGCTGCCACCACCTCGGCCGACGCTGTCCAGCGGCTCCACCGCTCCGATGACGACGACACCGCCCCTCACCGCGCCGACAACGTCCGCCGCCGGGACCACCGCGCTGGCGGGCCATGTGTCCACCGCGGCCCCGTTCGCGCCGCCAGCCCGGTTCCTTCTGCGCCACCGCCACCCGCCGTCTTCACACCGGAGCAGGTCACGTCCACCCTGTGGGATCTCGTGGCCGCCGTCCAGGGCCTTCACCTGCAGCAGCAGCAGTACGCGGCCGGGCCCTACGGGCCCCTACCAACGGTGCCCATCGCCGCCTACAGCCATACGCTGTGGCCGTCCCAGGGCGTCTTCGCTTACGGCCCCCCCTCATGCTGCCGTTCCAGACGCCCCCACCAAACGGCCCACCGGCCGCCACGGCGCCCCTCTGGTACTTGCCGCCGGCGCCATCAGCGGGCCCCTGGCCGCTGCAGCAGACGCCGCAAGCGGCGGCCACCGGACCTCAGCAGCCGCCGTCGATGGTGCCCCTCTGGCACCTGCAGCCGTTGCCGTCCCCGGCGTCCACCGCCCCTGTCTAGCCCCCGCCGCTGCCGCTGCAACCACCGGCGTCGGCCCTGCCTAGATCGGGGGCACCCTCACCGGCCAGCCTTCTGATACAACAAGTCCGGTTTCCGCCATCCCCGTCGCCAGTACCAGCTTGGGCGGCTGGGTCTTCGCCTTCACCAGTCTGCACCACGGCTCCGGAGCAGCTGACCCCGTTTCCGCAGTTCGGCGGACCATCTGGCTCCGTGGGTCCCTATCCGGAGTACTCCGACCAGGCGCCATCCGCCTCGCTGCTCCGCACCTCCGAGCCATCTCGACACGGCACTCCGACCCAGACACCACCGCGGTTCGCCAAGATCGACTTCGCCACCTATGACGGCACGGAGGACCCCCTCAGCTGGCTCAACCAGTGCGGCCAGTTCTTTCGCGGGCAGCGCACCCTCGCCTCAGAGCAGACCTGGCTCGCCTCGTACCATCTTCGTGGCGCAGCACAGACATGGTATTACGCCCTCGAGCAGGACGAGGGCGGCATGCCCCCTTGGGAGCGCTTCCGCGAGCTCTGCCTCTTTCGCTTTGGGCCCCCGGTTCGCGGAAGCCGCTTGGCGGAGCTCGGTCGCCTTCCCTTCACCTCCACGGTGCAGGACTTCGCCGACCGCTTCCAAGCCCTGGCGTGCCACGCGTCGGGCGTGACGGTGCAGCAGCGGGCCGACCTCTTTGTCGGTGAACTTCCGGATCACATCCGCGTGGACGTGGAACTTCGGGGACCCCAGGATCTCCAGTCGGCCATGTACTACGCCCGCGCATTCGAGCGCAGCGCGGTGGCCATCCAGCAGGCATCACCGTCCCGGACCGCTCGGTCGCTACCCGGGCCGGATTCTGTGCAAGGTCGGCCTGCGCAGGCTTCCGCGGCACCCCTCGCCGCGACCGCGGCGCGTCCGTTCCACCGGCTCACCTCAGTCGAGCTACTCGAGCGTCGCCGCCAAGGGTTGTGCTTCAACTGCGACGAGCCCTACACGCCCGGCCATGCCTGCTCGCGACTCTTCTACCTGGAGGTTACAGACTATATTCCGGAGGACACCGTCGCCGCCGACTAGGCCGCCCCAGATGCCGGCAAGGTGGTGGCCGAGAAGGTGTTTGACGCTGGTTGATCACCTCGAGAAGTTCAGCAAGCACTTCCCCACCTTACAGCTCGAGGACGAGCTGTTTGTGCACGCGGGGAGAAGTGTTATGACCGGTTTAGCTAGGCCCACCGGGTAATCTTAGCCCACAAGTTATCTTAGGTTAATTCTTATGCAAGTTATCTTAGGTTAATTCTTATGCAAGTTATCTAGGTTATAAAATATAGGCTATAAGACTCTTTCTGGAATCAAGCAATAAAAATATTATCTCTATTACCCGGCTCACAGAGGAGCCGGAACCCTAGCCGACCCCTGCCCTTGCGCCGCTGCCGCCACCCTCCTCTCCCGCGACGGCGCCCAACCGCCGGCGCGGCCTCTCATCGCCTCGCCCAGCCCCCTCCTTCCCTTACTGCTTACGCCTCAGGCCTGGTAGGGTACAAGTTCCTACCAGAAACACTTTTCTAATTTTGATTATCAGTATGTAAATATTTTCTTGAACCATAACAAAATAGAACAATAACAATAGACTTTAGTTTGAACATAAATTTATTTCTGTTGTAGCAACATATTTATATAGAAAATGCTCAAAGTTGCATTGATTTGGATACAATCCATATCTAGTTGTTTGGGTTGTGTGACTTGTGTCAGGTCTTGTAAACATCACACAAAAGCCGAAGACCAGAGAACTTCAAAACACGATCATCAGGTAGCAGCAGCAAAGGCTGTACCAAGCCTCTAGCTCCGGCCAAGCACGAGAGAGCTCCGGCCAAGCTAGAGGCTATTAAATACACAAACATTCGGATGCTTACACAACATCCAGGACCCCAAAGTGACCAGCGAGTTAAGCCCCAGTCTGAAGATACCTGGAGACAAAGAATTGATTCTCAACCACCAATTAGAGAACACATTATCTTCGGTATGTGGTGAAAGTCGGGTAGACCAGAGGGACGGAAGAGGTTGCTCCAAACTTGTCTAGAGAAGACACAGTTTGTCAAAATGTGTTGGATTTGTAAGAATTCGAGAGAAAACTTGTGTTTATTGATTCTGGGCAAAGCCCTATTTATACAAGGATTTGGGGCGCCTTCGGAGAGGCGTTTGTTTACAATAGGTGCCTGTGGCGCGAGAAGACGCCCGTACAGACGTTCGCGTCCGTACGGCGCTTTGGACACACGTGACGACTCTTAGTGCTAATGACGTCGCTTTATTCTTAACACTCCCCCTTGTACAAAGCTACTTCTTCTATGTCTTGCATCCTTGTATAACTTTGAGAATATTGCTCTTAATCACAAGCGTATATGATCTTTAATAACTCCTCCAAAAACCCTGTGAGAAAAATATGAGGATAATAGAACTTGATATGTTGTTAAAACTGCATTAAAACCCAGTAGGAAAAATAAGGAGAAAATGTTACAACATATGTTATCGTCTCTTTGATAACTTATATGAGAAAACCTTGAGAATAAAACTCATTGGTAAGTTTAGAGGATAATTAATATGTCTTGTATACACTCATTAAAAACCCCGGTGGGGAAAAATAGGATGTATGACATATATTTTTATGTTGATATTACCTCATTAAAAACCTTGATGAGAACCATGAGAGTAAACTTATAAAGGGAAAAAGAGTGCCGTATAATGTTTGAACAGGTTATGATTCAGAGAGACTCTCCCCCGATCTTTGCAAATCTCGAAGTCGTCGCATACCAATCCCATGAACATATTTTTCAAATGTTGAAGCTGGGAGTGACTTTGTGAATAGATCAGCTAGATTATCACATGATTTGACTTGCAAAATGCTTATCTTCCCTTTCTTTTGTAATTGATGGGGAAAAAATAATTTAGGAGAAATATGCTTAGTGATATTGCTCTTTATGTAACCTGTTTGCATTTGTGCAACACAAGCTGCATTATCTTTGTAGATAATGGTTGGAGATTCGATAGAACCTTTACCACATGATTTTTGTATGTGGTTTATCATTCTGCGAAGCCATACACATTCACGTGTTGCCTCAA